ATGCACAGTTTTTTTTTTTCTATGACACACATGGCTCAACTGGATGCACCATGCAGAAGTAACAATTGCTGGTATGATCTGTTGGCTCTCTCCAAATCATTGGCACTGCAAAAGGCATAGATTTCCTTTTCCTGTTCAACCACTGGCGAAGATTTGTTGCACAAGTGTTGCAGCATATGTGTGGGGCCCACCTCTTGTCCTGATCTCCAATTTTGCAGCCAAAATAAAGGTGATAGGCTTTCTTAACCATAGTGGTTATACTGCGCTTTTGTGATGCAAAAATCACTTCACCACAAACATAGCAGAAGTTATCTGCACTGTTCACACAAGTATGAGGCATCTCTGCTCACTTTGGCTAAACAGAAACGTGTCCCTTTGCAAAATCATAGAATCATAGAATAATAGGACTGAAAGGGACCTCGAGAGGTCATCGAGTCCAGCCCCCCGCCCTCAAGGCAGGATCAAGCTCCGTCTACACCATCCCTGACAGATGTCTAGCAAGGATCAAGCTCCGTCTACACCATCAAACACTGACAAGTAAGAGAGCACGACACTGTATGATTTCTAGAGCTGATATAGGGCAATTTGTTCAGAAGAGTGATGTAAGCTTCGTTATGATTGCATCATCCATGACTTCTAGGAATAACATGATGCAATTCATATCATGTATGACGCAATACCAGCTTCAGCTTGCATCATTCATTGTTTTGCCTAAAAAGCAAGTACTGTCCAAACCCAGTCATAGATTTATTCATAGATCCAGTCAAAGATGTATTTTAGTCATTTCTGGTTTAAACTGAGATCCCTTCCCTTTATAACTCACGTGTTTTGTCCATGGCCTTGACAAAGTTCGCAAGTCAAGGGTCGAATATACTGACCTAATAGCATATCTTGAAAACTAGAGCCAATCAACAATTTTAAGCATCATTTTCGTTCTCAGTGACCCAGAATTAGTAAAGTTTGACTACATTTATTTCAGAAGCATTTTGGCTGTAGAGCAGTGTAATTGCTCCCAGGGAACTAAGGCCAAATCTACATGGTGGAAAAAATGGATGCACAATACACAACTCCAGCTATGTGAATTGCATGGCTGGAGTTGATATACCGTACATCGATTTTCTGGGGAGGCCCCACAATGGGCAATTGATGGGAGATTTTCTCCCTGTGACTTCCCTTACTCCTTGCTACAGCAAGGAGTACTGCAGTTTATGGGGGTGCCCTCAACGTTCAAGTTAGTGGGTCTTTAGTAGTCCAACTAAATTAAACCCCGGTAGATCGATTGCCGGAGCATCGATCCTTTGGTAAGTGGAGATGTGGCCTAAGCGTTTGTGTTGACAGTTGTGTAAGGACATGATTAAGATTGGAGCTGGAAATCAGGAGATTAAGCCATCATCCAACTTCCAATGCTGACTGCCTGGGAGACCCTGATCACCAGGGCCTCACCCACGCAGCCAGGCTAGTGGTTTGTGTATGTGTACACGGGGCAGTAAGAGAATGGACAGGTGTGGACATGTTAGAGTATGTGGTCTACAAAGGGCACTTTGTCATTCATGGTTTTTCCTTGACCAAAGCAAAGATCAGCTACAAAGGTACAAAGAAAAGCTTGACAGGAGTCATAACATGTTGGAAAACAGCTTGAGTAGCATTTCCTTTGATTACGGTAGGATCTTTCCAGATAAGCAATGCTAGGAGGTTGTGAGTGCTGTAGCCATTTTCACTGATCATGGGGGAAAGAAAGACATCTGGCAGCCAAGATCCCTACAGGTTTGGCTTTAGTTTATCTCACTGATGAAGTCTGATTTCCCTTTCATGTAAGCTCTGCCCCTGGGCCTTCAGTTTGGGGCCCGGTTCTCCTCTCAACCCCAGTGTTATTCCAGATTTACACAAGGGACAGAATGAGGCTCTTAACGAGCGGATTGCTCACAGCAGGACAGGTCCCAACCCTTGAGTTACTCCAAGTTTCAATAACCTGGAATGGCCACTCCCTTTGCACACAAACACAGCTGGTTTTAGATGCCTTTATTTTGGAAGTCATAGGCTCTTTACAGGCACTGTGCGTTGGTGTTTCAGAACAGTTCAGACTTACTCTACATCACCCAACAATCGAGGGGTGGTGGGAGGGGGGAAAAAATACCTCAGAGCAACAGTTCCAGGAAGGCGTACGACATTCAAGGAAATGATCTGCTTCTTTTGGAGCCACAAAGCAAGGAATCAGGTTTACACAACAGACTTAAAAATAATATACATACACAGGAGCAATGCAATGCAAAGCTAAACTACAGCTAAAATGGGTACATATTTAGGGTGCTGCTCGAAAAGGACATTTTAAAACCTAAAAATACAGTTTGTTTGTTTTTTTAAAAAAAGATGGCATGCAATTATATCGTAGTGTTTTGTGCAAATAAAAAAGAATGAAAATAAATATAACTTAAAAACCTTTTCCATGACACTAATGGAATGGGCCACATCCGTAAGGCACTTCCACAGGGGCTACTTTAAGTAGCATAGGGAACCCGGGCAAAAAAGCAGAACAGCACAACCATTTACAACTGTCTCCTCAGAACCACAAACCTGTGCCTGGTGAGAGACTGAGGAAGTCTGATGAGATTTTAATCTTCACCTGACAGACTTGTGCAGGGCTGGGGAACAACAAATAGTCAAATTGCACCCCCTCCCGCTTGTGTTGCAGTGAAGATGCCTTCCTGACACAGGAAAATTGCACCCATCAAACTGTGGCAGAGTGGGCTGATAGCGTCACTACAAGGGGAAAAGATGAGACGATGGGTCTTTTGGAGTTGGGGGAGGGGGATGAGAAAGGTTTATAGAGTCTGTCAGACTCCTAACTAGCTTGTATTAGTCACAGAGGAACAGCTGTAGAATTGTTCATGACCCAAGCTCAATACTGTCCTTGTTGGGGATGTTAGCATGTAATCATTTACATGATTAACTGATAAGCCCAGGCTTATCGGTTAATCCTAATGGTTACATGCACCCCAGAGGCAGCAGGGGTGGAGGGAGTGGGAACCAGTGCTTGTGGGGAACTGGCTTTTAAGCTGGCTCCTCGCACATGCAGGCTCCCGTCGAGCTGCTTGTCCCCCCTGCTGCCTCCAACAGAGGCAGCAAAGAGGAGAGGGGGAGGCAGGAGGAGCTGGTGCTTAAAAGCTGGCTCACCACGAGCACGAGCTCCCATAGAGCTGCCTGTTCCCTCCTCCCCCCCTGCAGTGCCGCCTCTCTATCACAGGCAGAGGGGAAGGGGGTAGGTGAAAGCTGGTGCTTGTGAGGAGCTGGCTTAAAAGCCAGCTCCCTGTGAGCTCCGGCTTCCACCTGCCACTGAGTGTAAACATGCAACCGCTAAAAATGTCAGCGGTTACACATTTACACAAATACACATCCCTAGGCCTTATGTCGCAAATTCTGGAGATCTCCAGGAAGGGCAAGACGCACCAACGATCTTCCTCTCTCCTCTGGTCTGTCAATAGCTGACCTTTAGCGACTTAGTTCTGCTGCAAACACTCTGCTTAGGTCAAATGTTCCAGGAAGTTAAAAATTCGCCTCCACCCTAAATAGAGAACTAGTTGTTTTCACAAGCCTTGACACAGACTAACCATTTGTACATCCAGTTTAAGCAGAGCAGACTAGTGAACTATTTGTGAAAAACAGAGCTGGGGATTGAGCAACAAGGGAGGTAGGGGGTGCCTTAGATCCCTGTGTCTTGCAAAGAAAAACAGGGGCGATAACCTTAAGAGCTGCCTCCCTACCTTACCCCCTTCTATATTTCTGTAGATATGAGCACTCTCAAATGCACTCCATCTAGGGGTGTGTTGGTTGCACACAAGGGAGCCAACAGCCATGCCGGTGGGGGGAGGGGTGGCTCCATGCTCCTGGAAGGGATGAGGCCTCAAGCAGAAGGGGCAGGAACAGGGCAGCCAGACCTCAGTGACCCCCACAGCTCACCATGCCATGCCACCCCCCTAACCCTAAGAGCTACCTGGAGTGCCCTGCATGGTGCTCTGATGGCGATTTAAAGGGCCCGGGGCTCTCGGTGGTGCTGCTAAGACCCTATCAGATGTCTGGCACTTGCCAATCCTAGGGGCTCATAACAAAGATACTAGATAAGATGCTGAATGGCATTGAAAAACAATGGAGACCGCTCCCCACCTTGTGAACTTCCTTCTGTCCCCGATTTACCCGGAATCCACCCCCTTGCACACTTGGCAGTATTAGTCTGGCATGGCGGAGAGGGCAGCTTGCTTGCTTATTGCTAGGAAATACCCACCAACACTGAAGCCTTTTTAAAGTTTCACAGTGGTCCCTATAGCCACTTTCACTCTCCCTCAGCCTCACTGGAGGCCTTCAAGTCCTGTGGTAGGACACCATCCATCCCAGCTTAGGAGGGCTGGAAGTTGCTGCTATATTGAGAGAAGGATCGCTGAAGACAGAAGAGAAATCCCTTCCTTGCTGTCTAGATTCAAACTATTGGCTCTATAGCATTCCCAGTAAGTGCTGGCCCAGAAGGTCTGAGCACAGCCTCAGATCTTCACATGCCAGCTCACTGCCCTACTGCTAAGTTGCTATAAGGCCATTTCAATTTAAAGACAGGCCCATGGTAAACTTCTACAGCTGACAACACCAACCCACCTCAGTGGTTAGAGGGAAGCTCATCATTCAGCACCAAATAGAACCACAGTCACACCACACTTGGTTATTGACTAGAACAGGCTATTCCAATGGCCACTTAAAAATAATGGAACAATCACAGAAATGGATAATGAAGTTGCTTCGAGAGAGAGAAACCTAGATCTGCTTTTATCAGTTACTCCTAAGGAGTCTACATATCTAGCGTCCTAGGACGAAGGATGTTATTAAATGCAACTAAATTGCTGTCAATCGGGTATCCCTGCCTTCACCTTCTCTACAATCTGTGTCTTCCTTATTCCATAAATCCTTAACATGGCCATTTAAAAACTATGGAGTCTTGACTACTTTGTGGATAGTGTGTTACCAACACCAGCCACTAGAGGACGGATGATCCTTACAGATGAACAAGTTCTGTAGCTCACTTAGCCTAAAGGGCTTTAATTACACAGTTCAGGAGCAACAGAGCTCAGCATTGGGACACCATCTTCCCGCAGCTGCACAACTGCTCACTAAGCAAATTCATGTTAAAACGAGATTGACTAAGAGCCAGAAATGCTATGGAAAGAGCATGCATTTGCCAACCAGACCACAGTGGCTCACTGCTCTGGCACCCACAATGAGCGGCACGATCTGCTCCTGTCTACTGAGCAAAGCCAGTGTGTCAAGCTCAATGTTTGTTCTGGCAGGTGATCTACATATGTACAAAACTAAAAACCACCTTAAATAGGGGAGTGATAGCTTTAAAATGGGCACGGGGTTGGAAAGTGTCTTGTAGTGCAGTTCAGAAGAGTCAGTTTGAGGGGCAGGATTCTGGGTAGTGGTGGAGTTGGACATATGGCTTTAATGCAGGTCCTCGCTCTGTGACAATTCTGTCAGGATCTCAATGAGGTTGTCCAGCCCCCAGAGGTAGCCATCCTCTCTGTTCCCTTCCACCCACGGCACGTTGTGCTGGAGCAACTGTCCCTCTGGCAGTGGTGTGGTCTTCCCAAAGTCGATCATCCACACTTTGGCCTGTTCCCTTTGGTCATGAATGAAGAGGAGGGAGCTACCAATTACCTGCAGAAAGAAAGACACTATAATTCATCATTCCAGTTTTAGTTAAACATCAATGCCAGTCAGCCAATGGCCACTTGTGTGATCACACTCCCACTGTCTAAAACTGCACCTGCACAAATATTTTAGGCTCAAGTTTTTGCATGTGCATAAACTTGGATTTGTGTACACCAGCTGTATTTGTTCATGTAAATCAGATATTTAAACTACCTGATTCACTCATAAGTCACAGATATTGTGCATGCAAGCTTTGCCAAATTGAGGAGCATGAAAGTTTGGGCTTATAAAATTCTAGCGGCAAACTTCAGAAGCCAAGTGGAGTTTCCCAGGGTGGGGAAGTCATAGGGACTATCTTCATGGGGACACTCAGGAAAGTTAAGACTAAAGGCAGGAGGTTAATGCACATCAGTTAGAACACACAGAACCACTGAGGGTATGTCTACACTACCCCGCTAGTTCGAACTAGCGGGGTAATGTATGCATACCGAACGTGCAAATGAAGCCCGGGATTTGAATTTCCCGGGCTTCATTTGCATAAGCCGGCCGGCGCCATTTTTAAATGCCGGCTTGTTCGAACCCCGTGCCGCGCGGCTACACGCAGCACGGGCTAGATAGTTCGAACTAGCAAGCCATTCCGAACTATCTGTACGCCTCGTGGAACGAGCTGTAGACTGATGGACTCTATACTGACTTGCGCTGTTGCTATTCATGAAAGCACCAGCAAGTGCAAACCTGACAAGAGCAGCAAAAGGGGGCACCTTCAGCTGGGAATGCAGATGAGACTTGGAAGGTAGAAGAGAAAGACTCAGCCAAATGTAGGAAGCTGTTCTTGAACCATGAAAGGCACTGGAGAGCAATTTGTAAGTGGGAAGGAATCCTTACAGGAGAAATTAAATTAATGACCATCCAACCAGTCACCAGACGGCTCAGAAGATATTCCTGTTAGCCACCAGCTCAAGACAGCATGGGGGCTAGGACATCCCTAAAAGCAGTCCCCAGGAAAGAATAGTGATGCAGCTCTAAAAGAATTCAACCACAGTCAGCATTAAATTTGGAATTTCCATCCCATAGTAAAGGCAGTCCCAAACCAGAATGAAAAATTGTCATTTAGAAGTTTCTGTGGAATGGAAATTCCAAAAGATTTCCATTTGGAAATGTCAAAATATTTTGTTTCAACATTAGTTCAAAAAATAAACCAAACAAACCCTGACATTGCTGCAATCTAAATGTTTAATTTTGATTTGTTGAACTGACCCCAAACTCTTTGTTTCAGGTAATTTCAACATTTGAATTGTCTTTAGAATTCAGGTGCAAAAATGTGTGGAGAAAAATATAGAAGCTATTTTCTGACAGAAAATCATTCTGACAGAAGATTCCTGACCAGTCTTCCACTTGCAGGATCTCTTATCAGCTCTGTAAGTGCTGTTTTGAGAAACCTCAAAGGATGCTGGCAGAATATCTGGAACCATGTTTGAATAGCTCATAATGCTGGAAGCCAGCCATTATCTGGAATTTGCATTAGTGTAGAACTTAGCATAGACATACCATATATAGAGAGAAAGTAGCCAGAAATATTCCTGAAGTCACAGATAACTGTAAGCATTCTGAGCAAACATTTGTGGCATGGGCCAATAAAAATTGATGATCATACCATTTAAAGGTAGCTTTTACATAGTGTCATGTGTGACAAGTTTACCTCAAAGTTGTAGGTTACATGATCTCTCTGCAGGTACTAAATGGACAAATTATGAAAATACAAATTTGAGAATAAACTCAAATTTTAGAAATGTATGAGTTTTAACACTTACTATATTCTTTTCTTGGATAGAAGCTACAGTGTACACATACAAACAGATCTAGCTAAGCATCATCTTGAGAGAGAAAGACAAGTTCTACCTCATGGCATTTAAAGAATGGAGATGTTTCCAGGGTGGCACGGATCCCCTTCAGCCGATTAAGGTAACCGTTCTGGAATTATAAAGAAAATAAGCACTGTGAGTATAAGTCTTTTCAAGCAAGTTAGTGTAGTTAGGGCTAGAAAGGGATATGTTAACTAGTAACATGGTGAATTTCTGGAAAGCGCCAAGAGATCCTTCAAAGTCCCCTTGCTAATCATACCAATGTTCATAGTCTAATCCAAAAAGCAGGCTAAATTATAAATATTTTAATATATACAGTACTGGCTAACCATGCTGCTAGCCCTAACAGAGTCAAGTTAGCTACTCAAACGCTGGCTCTGGTGGGAAATTGTGGAGGGGGGCAGGAGAGAACTTTAAGAGGTTAGCAGTTGGACTGATCAGATTCACCTCTCATTTGCCCTACCTTTAAATAATGTAAGAGTGGTTTGAAAGGACTCCCAGTCTGCGGACTAAGGAGCAATTTGGCCAAGCCAGAGCCATGCAGAGTTGTTTACAGACCAAGAATAAATCCCAGGTAGTTAAAGTCAAAGTAAACAGGCAGGTTTGAAGTAGGGAGCGCTAAGAGTCAGGCCATTTAGAGTTATTTGCTAACAGGCTTTATAAGGTAGGGCCTAAAATGGAGCTAGTTTATCAAACTGTGTATTTTGCCCAGTCTATATAAAACATTTACAGCTAAACAGCTAGTTCACCTAGCAATGAGCAGCAGCACATTTGGCATATGCAATATCTATAGGTTTGCAGCGTTCAGATCTAGCAGAGGGGCAGCTGCAGACAAGACGGTTTCCCATGCCTCCCAGCCCACTCCAGGACATTGGGCACCCTTACAGACAGCCTTATGAGACAGCCCACAGTCTACTCTAAAAAATTAGAAGGAAATCTTGTCCAGCAAGATTCAGAGATCAAAAGTAAGAAACAAACTGAAAGGTCCAGTCTATCTTCACCAGCCCCAGCCACTACTGATGGGAGCTTGTTCCTTACATCCTATGCCTTTTCTCTTGCTCTAAAGCAGACTTCCCCTCCCCTGGTTTAGCTGACCAAGCCTACCCTTCTGCATCTGTCTTCTGGCAGTGAGTGGTCTTGTAATCCTACTGGCTGCCTGAAATCATCATGTTGCCTAATGCAAAGTCTGAATGTTGCCATTACAGCTAACAGCATGTTCTCTCCTGTCCTCTACCTACCCTTGCACCTCCTCCAGGCTAGGATGTGGTCTCTGCTTTGCCTCTCTGGTGCTATGTTCCAATGGGCTTGGCACAGTAGCAGTACATTTAATTCTCTGGTCCTTGGAATTATACAATGCACCAGCAAGGAGAGAGTGTAGAGAAGGAAGGAGTCCATCCTTGCACTTGGCAGAAATTTGGGTAATGTCTTCCTAATGCAACTGCTAACTCACCAAAACGTTTCGGTTTCCTTTAGTGAATCCTCTGAAGGCTTCTGTGACCTGTTCCTTTGTTCGTGTCTTCTTGAAATCCCGGTTCACTGTGCCATCTTCTTTCTTAAAAAGGGAAACAGAAACCCAGACACACTGTCATGAGAACGGGTTGTCAGAGGAGATGACTTGTGTTTGAAACACTACTGGGCATGTCATTAAACACAATTCAGACCAGTCTCCTGGGCTTTGTCTACACTGAAGGGTTTTGTGCAAGAAGCCTTTTGCGGAAGAGTTCTTGTGCAAAAACTTCTTGCACAAAAGCGCATCCACACCTCAAAGTGCATTGCAAAAGCAATGTGCTTTTGTGGTAGCTTCTACGCTGCATGGACACTCTTGCTCAAGAAAGCTGTGATTGCCATTCACAGAATGGCTATCAGAGCACCTGTGCTTTTGCTGATAGGGGTTTCTTGTGCAAAAACCCCTCCGGGGCCTTTTTACCTTTTTGCACGAAGGACTTAGTTCTAGTTAACGTTTGACTGCTGCGTGTAGCCGCGGGCAGTTAGTTCGGACTAAGGGAATTTAAAAATGGTGCCCGGATGGGAAGATGCAAATAAAGCCCGGGATATTTAAATCCCGGGCTTCATTTGCAACTTCGAATGCCTACATTAGCCTCCCTAGTTCGAACTAGGGGGGCTAGTGTAGACATACCCTCAGACGCTGTAGAAATAAAGAGTATAGAGCAAGTTCTGTCATTGTTTGTCCACATTCTATAAACAGCAGGGTAATCAGAATTCTCTTTGGGACACTCACTTCCTAGACATAATGACCAGTTTTAAAATGTGTCCTATACATGCATCTTTGTTTCCATAGTCTAGTTCTTCATGAAGGATGGCTTGTTTGCCCAAAACACTCTGAAAGGATGATGAGCCGGAAAGGCATCCTGTTGTGCTGGGGAAGATGAAGACTTAAGAAATGGGTCAGAGAATGAGGGAAGGAAGGCAGTACAATGAATATCCTGCCCTGTAGCTTTAGATGTCATGGGGTTCCTTGTAAAGTCTTCCCAGAGGAGTTTGAAGGATTCAGCTGATCCCCATTCCCACAGAATAAGGTATTGACTGCACACAAGTCAGTAAACTCTGAAACCAATCAGACATGGAAGGTGAAATGTGTGTGTGAATCAACATGTACAAGATTTAGTCCTAACTGATCCTGTTACTTTTTGGTTTTAGTTTTAGTGTTACAAGAAGGAGAGAGAAAAATTGTTCTCCTTGGCCTCTGAGGATAAGGCAAGAAGCAATGGACTTAAACAGCAGCAAGGGAGGTTTAGGTTGGACATTAGGAAAAACTTCCTAACTGTCAGGATGGTTAAACACTGGAATAAATTGCCTAGGGAAGTTGGGGAATCTCCATCACTGGAGATATTTAGGAGCAGATTAGACAGACACCTGTCAGGGATGATGTCTCTGGTGCTTGGTCCTGCTGTGAGGGCAGGGGATTGGACTTGATGACCTTTTGAGGTCCCTTCCAGTTCTACTATTCTGTTATCTGAGTTATCTCTTTGCACCACAACGTACACTTGCATTTAGTAGCCCATCTTCTCCAACTCTCTCAGCCTTGTGGTTGTGAAGACCTTCCTAATGTAAAAGGATGCAGTGGCACCTGCCCAGTTTTGCAGACAGCCTGAAACAGCACCTGTGAGAATGCTGACGGTGTTTGAAATTCAATGTCTAATGACAATACAAATAATCTCTATGAGGTTGGTTATTTCCCAGCTGATCCACGTGTGTTAGGAAAACAGGGCTGTAATTAGGAGGCTCCCCGCAGATTACTGAAGAAGCCGCTCTTTCTGACAGCAGCGGAAGAAGCAGCTAGAGCTGTGGGTGTCAGCTAGACGGCTGCCACCACTTATTTTACACCCCACTTACCACTTGTTTTCACCTCGGCTTGTTTTATTCAATCTGATCACTGGTTAGTAGAGCTGACCCCTCAATTGCTTTTGCCCTTTTTCCCATTTCAAAGCTACAGCTCCTGATGTTTATCGCTAGTAAAAGTTTTGAAAGATCTTAACTCTCATTATCTTTCAATGAGTTATATGCTTCTAAGGCCTGGTCAACATCTAAACATTGGATCAACCTAGCTATGTTGCTCAGGTCTGTGAAAAATGTTGTGCCCCGTGCTGTGTAGTTAGGATGACACAAACCACACTGTAAAATTCTTCCATCAGCCTCACTAGCATCTTCTGGAGATATGGATTTCCTATCTTGACCTACATTGCTACATCAAGAGTCTACCGCTTCTGTTGAAGTAGGACATGTCTACACTACAGTGCTACATTAGCACAGCTACAGAGCTATGGATGTGCCCAGGAGCTATTGAAGCACCCTAAAAGTGTGGGGGTCACAGGTGGCTGAATCATGGCTCTGCCACCCATGCCACACCACCCCAGACCACATCTCACACTGCTCCTGCCCCCCGGCTGCCCCTTCCCTTGAGGCTCTAACTCCATTTTGTCCCTTCCACAAGGTCTCACCCCTGCCCCGCCTCTTCTCCCAGGATCCTGCCCAGCCTCTTTCCCCCAGGAGCTCACCTGTCTCCCCTTCCTTCCCCCCCCCCCACTTGCTCCTCTCTACCTCTCCTCGTTTCTCATCTTTATGGCTGGTAAAAAGTGGTAAAAATGGCCATGGTACCTTGTCCTTCCCCCTCTCCCCCGCCTCCAGTTCTGGCAGGCCTGACTATGCCACTCTACTGTGGATATACCCTCAGTCACTTAGGGTATGTCTACACTACCACCCTAGTTTGAACTAGGGTGGTTAATGTAGGCAACCGAAGTTGCAAATGAAGCCCGGGATTTGAATTTCCCGGGCTTCATTTGCATCTTGCCAGGCGCCACCATTTTTAAAGCCCCGCTAGTTCGGACTCCGTACCCGCGGCTACATGCGGCTCGAACTAGGTAGTTCAGATTAGGCTTCCTATTCCGAACTACCGTTACTCCTCGTGGAACGAGGTGTACCGGTAGTTCGGAATAGGAAGCCTAATCCGAACTACCTAGTCCGTGCCGCGTTTAGCCGCGGGCACGGAGTCCGAACTAGTGGGGCTTTAAAAATGGTGGCGCCTGGCAAGATGCAAATGAAGCCCGGGAAATTCAAATCCCGGGCTTCATTTGCAACTAGGGTATGTCTACACTACCACCCTAGTTCGAACTAGGGTGGTAGTGTAGACATACCCTTAAGGCTTGTCTTCACTGCAAAATTGTAAGCTGTTTCCCATTCACACATATAAACCCTTCATTCGGGTTGGTGCTTCTAACTTTATTTGTCTGGCACAGGCTCCAGCTCAAGATAGCACAACTCTGTAATTGCTAACACAACCGTCCTGTAGTGTGGATGAAGGCTAGTTCCACTCAAGTTATGTCAGTCCTCCAAAGCCATCCCAGCATTCTCTCCTGCCCCCATCCTCATGAGGAGGCAGCAGGATAATTCCACCACAAGTCCCTGGGGGAACATTCATAGAGTGGCACTACTGAGCCAAGAACTGTGAGACAGGCCCACAGAACTCTTAGACCCACGCATAAGAGAGGGCAACACCCAAGTGGAAAAAACAGCTCAGATGTTATTTTGCAGCATTGCGGCTTTCACTCCAGCTAGACTAAAACTGAGAGAAGAAACTGAAGCGTAGATAACTCAGGTTAACTCTGCACTGAAGATACGTCCTTCAGCACCTTTGAAGAGTTACCCATTATGTTTAAACGAGAGATGGAGAGCAGCCCGTTACGTAGGAGAAGAATCTCCATAGTCCTGATCAAGCCCATGTCTTGATATGGCAATCTGAGTCTGGCACAAACTAAAATGCACATTGGGGTTAGGATCAAGGTTTTAGTTCAAAATTTCAGCATGACAATTCCAAACACCAAAAGAGACACCCTGGCTTTGTGAAAGTCCAGATCCACATTGCAAGCCCTCAAGTTTGAGAGCAGCTTTTGCTTCTCTCCATTATAGAAACTGGCTCCTGTACTAAAGGATTGGATCATG